CCGCCTTGGCGCCCGCAGCCAGCAGGCCCCGCCCGGTCTCGCTCTCGGCCCCGCCCCTCCGGGAAGCGCCTGTCCTCGGCTGCCCTGGCTGACAGTGACCCAGACTGAGGCCTCTGCCACGAATACCCCTGTTTGTCCGTCAGCAGGAAGGCCCTGTGGAAGCTGCTGCTTGAGGAGTCAAGGAAGGAACGCAACCGAAGACCTTCCTGCCGTCCTCCAGACGCCTCATTCCATTTGGGGGCCGGGCGCCGCCTCTGCAGAGCAAAGCGCCCCGGACCCGCCGACCACACCTTCCGCCTTTGTCCCGATCACGCCCACCCGCCCCTCACTTCGAGGCTGGAGCCCCACCCTCCATGGCCTGTTCTGAATGAAGCCCGCGCCCTGGCCTTCCGGCCCGGTGCTTTTCGAACCCAGCCCAGCTCCTTCGCCCGTTCAGCCCCGAGTGCCCCTGATGGTGTGCCAACCCAGTACTGCGACTGCGCGACCCTCCGACCCTGGGCGGTTCAGCACCCAGGGCCCGAAGTGGCTGGCCTGCTAAGTAACTTGTGGACCAGACCCTGGGTATCCTGTGTCTGGTGCCAGGGCACCCCCGAGTGGCCGTTCCCAGAGATGCAGGGGCCACGCAGCTTGGAGAGGGGGCAGCAGGGTACTAAAGCTAACCCTTCCTAGCTTGGGTACCCTTCTTGCATACCCCTGGGCTTATTTTCCCAACTGTAAAATGGCCACGATAAGCACACCTCCAGGGCTGCTGTTCATAATGAAAGAGCATAAGTAAATCGCTTGTACCTGCCCCTTGATGTCGGCAGCAGCGGGCTCCCTTGTGTGGAACTATGTGCAGAATGGAAGTCAGATTATTTTCTGGAGACTGAACAAAAACAGGGGAGTTCTGGCCTAGGTGGATGCACCAGTCACAAAATAAAAGGAAAAAGGGAAAGTAGTGTTCATTCTTTTTTATTTTTTAAAAAGGGAAAAGCAAAAAGGAAATACAATATATGGTTCAATAAATAGAAAAAAATACAAAACAGCATTGATCTTTTGTCCTTAATATACATGAAGAGAGAAGAGGATGCAGAGGGGTTGACCTGGGAGGGGCGGTCTCCCCTCCTCCCTGGGCTCAGGAGGGGCTTGAGAGGCCAGAGAGACAGCAGTTGGGGCTTAAAGATACAAATAGCAAGGCAACCATGAAAGGAGAGGAGGAGGGAGACAGGAGAGACAGCTGGATGGAAAGCCAGTAAGAAGCGGGCCGTTCCTGGCTCTTCCGGTTTGGAAAGGCGCTATGTGAGCCTTGTTTGTGTTCCTGAGTTCTGAGTCCAGTGACTAGCAGGTGGGGGGAGGGTGACACTGACCTCAGCCCACCCTGGGACCCTAATGCTGAAGAGAGGGGGTGGTCTCTGCTGGAGGAGGGGTGGTGAGGTATGCGTTTGAGACAGGAGGCCTCTTCAAATCCTTCACTGGGCAACCTGGGTGGGGATGGCATGGAGTGGGCCCTGAGGCAGTGAGGGGAGAGTGTACAGGGGGATTGAGTTCCCTGTGGTGGCCCAGGTAGGGGGTGGGGGGCTCAGTTACTCGGCTTTGGAAGGCTGTTAGTGTGAAAACCCCTCCTCCCAGGCCCCACAGAGTCCAAGCCAGACCTGTAAGTCCCAGCAGGGGCACTTGCCTATTGCATATGGGGTGCCCCGGGTGCTCCAGGCCTCTGGGTGGTGGCTATGGCTTCTGATCCTTGTGTCTCGCACACTCCTAGGCACGCATGTGGTAGGATGCCCCTCCTGTCCCCTACTTCCGGTTGGGCCTGAGGGGCGGGGGGGCGAGCAAGACTCTTTTTGGCCCAGGCCAACTCCTTCCCTGACTTAATACTGAAACGCCACCTGGGCCTCGCTTGCGGAGACCCCAGTGGAGAGCGGTGCCAGGGGGGCCTGGGGGGGACACCGAGCCCCTCAGCCGAAACGCTCCCGCACCAGTAGCATGAGCTTCTTTTTGCCCTTGTAGGTCTGTTTGAGGTTCTCCAGGAACTGGGTGAACTGCAGGTGCCCGTCGGGCGCCAGCAGGAAGGTCTCACGGGCCTTGTCCAGGAACTCGATGAAGTCGCCGTAGTGCCGCGGGCTGATGTGCGTGAGGCGCGAGTGGCTGGTGGTGATGTAGGCCGTCACCGCCGCCTCCAGCAGCTGGCAGAGGGGGGCCCGGTCGGCCCCCAGGGGCTTGGCCGCCCGGCGGGCCCCCAGCGGGCCCAGGCCAGGCGCCGAGAGGGTCCAGCGGCGCAGGATGTCGGAGAGCATGGGGGCGCAGTGGACGCTGCGAATGATGAGCGGCACAATGGCGGAGAGCTCGTGGCGGCCCAGCGAGTGGCTGAGCGAGCAGGCCCAGAGCACGTCGTTGACGGCGGGGTGGCTGTCCTGGTTGAAGGCGATGCTGAGCTGCGCCAGGGCCAGCGTGGCCAGCTTGTAGGCCCGCAGCGGCAGGCCGCGGTGCTCCATGTAGCGCGCCACCGTGAAGAGGTGAGCGTGGCCCAGGCCGCCGGCTGCCGCGTCCAGCACGATCTGATAGGCGGCCTCGAAGGCGGCGTGGTTCTTCTCGCACAGCGTCAGGGCGGGCAAGGCACAGTTCTGGGGGTCCTTCATGGCGCACTGCAGGGCCAGGGTGCGCGCGCAGGCCCAGAGGTCCTCGCGCCGGGGCCCGTCCAGTTGCAGCCGCAGCAGCGTGGCATGCGTGGTGCCCGTCACGGCCACGATGGTGGCTGCCTCCACAGGTGTGAACAGGGAGTACCAGTTCTGCATGATGTTCATCAGGGCTTGCGGGCCTGGTGGGAGGGCAGTGGGAGAAACGGGTCAGGAAGAGGAACAGGTGGGCGCACGCGTCTAGGTGAACCTACCAACGTCGTTGCGGGCCATGGCTGAAGACCGGCCCATGCGTCACAGGAACTACCTTACTACCCTAAGGTTTATGCGCTGAACATCCTTCACAACGGTCTACATCCAATCCTAAAAGCACATCAGTTGCCACGTGCTCAGAAGCTACTGGGCTCTCCCCATCAGACAGTAATGAAAACCGAAAGGCACATGGAAACGACTCCAAAGGGCTAACAGAGCAAGCAAACATCAGTCTCTCCAACCCAGACACCAGAACTAGATGGTGCCCCACGGCCACTGCCAGCTGCAGGGAAGAGGATCACCCGAGAAGGTCCCTGGATAGAGTGGGAGAGAAACGTGGGCTAGAACTCAAAATCCTAAAAAAGAGATGAGGCTTATTTTTCAGATAGACTGGTGGGGCACCCTCACCCCCCCCACCCCACGCCAAGTCTGTGGTTTTTAGGCACCCTTGGGATCTAGAACCTCTGTGTTAGTGTGAACCACCATTTAAGATGAAAGGGCCACATTTACCCAAGGACAACATTCAGAGTGTTAGTGGAGGAGGAGGAGAGGAACCGGGTGGCACAGGGTGGAAGTGGGCTCAGGGATGGAACAATGAGTATCGCCCATGGACGAGTGGAGACAAAATGCCTATCAACTGTTGAATGACAGGTGGATGATCTACTATGTAAGCTTCACCCAATTCAGAGTTAAGTTGTAAACAACCGACTGGGGTTTACTTGTCCGAAGGAGATGGGGCCGCTGAAAGGAGCAAGGCTAGATGAAAACGAAAGTAGGGGGCTACATGTTATAGATCGGCTTCCTCCCCAAACTACTTTCACCTGGCCAGCCTTCGGACCTTTTGTTCGGATCGGCTCTCCGGCCTGATGCTCCCTTCCAGCCTAGTCCTGCGCAGAGGCAGGAGCCAGGGAGATGGCCTTGCTTCTCCCCTGCCTGCCCGGTCCCCTTGCCTAACCTGGCCAGGGGCTGGGTGCGGTCACTTGGGACCTGTGAATGTGACCTGATTTGGAGATGGGTTCTTTGCAGGTGTCAGAGTGGAGAAGGGTGGATCCTTATAAAGGGACATTTCGACCCAGACACACATGGGGATGCCAGCCACGAGACACTGGAGCTAGACATTGGCATCATGCTGCCACAAGTCAAGGAATGCCAAGGATTGTTGCAGCCACAGGAAACTATTAGAGGCCAGGCAGCATTCTCGTCTGGAGGGAGTATGCTACTGCAGCTGGCCTCCAGACTGGGAGAGAACAGGCTTCTGTCGCTTTAAGTCCCCCGTCTGTGGGGCTTTGTTAGGGCCCGGCCCTCACCGATCTCGGTGGCACAGCTGACCAGCCAGCGCACCATCTCCCGGCGGCGCCATGTCATGGTGTTCAGGGTCATCCGCATCACCTGTGGGGTAGGAGTGGGGAGAGACAGGGGGGAGGGGTCACCCAAAGCCTTGAAGGGGCTGACCTGGATGGGAAAGGCTATTCCCATGAGTCATCCAAACGGGGGCCGGGAGTCACCTCTCTGGGTCTCAGTTGGCGCCTCCGTCCACTGGGGGCAAGGAAGGCACATCTCATGGGCTCGCGAGCGCGAAATGCATCCATGTGGTGAAGAGCTCTGCAAGCTGCGTGCAAGTTCTCAGCGGACATCAGCAATCATGACCGCCGTGGGCATGACTCTGAGCTCTCACGGACCCTACCCCGGTCAACAAACCAACCCAGCCTGCCTCTCTGGAAAGTTCCATGCGTCATTGTCCTAAACTCAGGCCCTGCACTCCAGGCACTGCCTCCTTCAGGTCCCACTCCCCACTGAGCACCCTGCCTGCTTGCCTCTCCCTCGAGGAGCACCCCCTGCCCAAAGCTCTGGTGGACCCTGACTTTGGACAGCTCCTTACTAGCCTGCTTCCTCCAGTCCCACAGGAGACATTCCTGGCCAAGCCTGCTCCCCACAGACGCCATGCTGGTGGCCTTTTCTTCCAGGGAAGGTGGGTGGGTACAGGCCTGCCACCCCAGCTGTTCCTTGATTTATCTCCAGCCCCAGCCCCTCAAGCTGAGTCCACAACAGGACCTTTGCTAGCCTGGCCTGTCTCTTCTGAGTGCAGAGCTCACCTGCCAGGCCCACCCATGCTGGCCCCTGACTTGGCTCCAGAGGCTTCTGGGATTGCCTACGTACTCCCCCAGAAGGCCTTGGCCTGCACCTGCAGACTCCACCTCAGAGGTAGCTCTTTGCCCCCAGGGACTTTCTGAGCCCCCACTCCAGGGATGCCTCCCTCACTCCCAAGAGACTGCCTTGCTGGTGTCCACCCACAGTCTCAGCCACAGGCTCCCCACACTCCTCCTCCACACCCCAGGGCTAATGCACTCTGCTTTGTCCGCTCCGGAGACCCAGTGCCTTGAGGGGCCCCACAATGGGCCCCAGACCTCACCCCACCAGCCAAGCCCCTCCCTCACGGGCCCCTCCCTCACCAGCCTGACCCTCTAGGCCCTGCCAGCTGCACCCAGACCCTGCCTTCACCTGCAGGCCCAGCTCCAGCGCGATGCCCAGCAGGGTGGTGTCCGGCGGCGCACTTGCCGGGGTGGCCGTCTTGCAGGCGTCCTGCGCCAGCTTGAAGAGCAAGGCCGGCGAGTGGATGTTCTGTTGGATGGAGCCCAGCACCGCGTGCAGCCACTTCGGGTCTCCTGGGCAGGGCGGGGAAGAGGCATGTTGGCCACACCCGGCACCAGTCCTGGGCACGCAGGTCTCTAGGCCCAGCAGGGCGAGAAGGGAGACACCGCAGGCAAGTAGGCGCTGGCTCCGTGAGGTTGGGACCCACGGCCTCTCCTACCAGCCCCTTCTCTCCTCTGTACCTGCTGGACTGAGTGCCAGGAAGCCACTAACCACCATGGCATCTGCTGTGTCCTGACACTCACTGGCCGTGTGACTCTGGACAGGTCACCTCACCTCTCTGTGCCTCAGCTGCCACATCGATCAAGCGGGTATGAATGGGGAGCCCTCAAGGAGAAGCAGTTAAGGGCGTGGTTGTGAACCCAGCAGCGGCCCCGCGGAGGAAAGACGGGGCAGTCTGCTTTGGAGAAAGATCACCACCTTGGAAATGCGCTGGGGACAGCTCTATGCTGTCCTATAGGGTCTTACGAGTCTGAACTGACTCCATAGCAACGGGTTAGGGTCTCCCTCAGAGGATCGAGGTTTTGTGGTCGTGAAGAACTCCATGCGGTGCGCATTGAAAAAGCATTCACGTTTAGCCCGATTAACACTCCTGGCCTGCGCCCCACTCCTCTCCTTCCTTCTGCTCCAGGCACCTCAACCACACCAGGCTCGGTCCAGCCCCAGGGCCTTTGCACAGGCTGCTCCCTCTGCCTAGAGCAGCGGTTCTCAACCTGTGGGTCGTGACCCCTTTGGGGGTCAAATGACACTTTCACAGGGGTCGCCCGATTCATAACAGTAGCAAAATGACAGTGATGAAGTAGCAACGAAAATAATGTTACGGTTGAGGGTGGGGGGTCACCGCAACATAAGGAACTGTATTAAAGGTTGAGAACCACTGGCCTAAAGCGTTTTTTCCCCTTCAGATTTCCACATGGTCAGTCTCTTCCTGATTGGGGTCTCTGTTCCTCTCTCTGTGTTCTCTCCAGGTTGGGACCCACCAGCCACTCGGGGAGAACACGACGTGAAGATTACAGCTTCAGAAAGGCCGTGCGTGGAGTGGTTCTGCTCTGGCGCACAGGGTCACGAGCTGTCGCGGTCCACTCCATGACCGCGGCTTTGAATTTGGTTCTTTCCCTGGAGACTGCCCGGCTTGCCCACCAGGCGGGGAACCCCAGGGAGCAGGGATCTGGGGTGGTTCTGTTCCCAGCTCAATGGAGTAAGGAGCCCTGGAGGTGCTGTGTGTAGCCCAGCATGGGCCTGCTCCAGGCAGGTCGCAGGTCAAGCCCACCAGTCCCTCTGTGGGAGAAAGGGAGGGCCTGCTTCCACAGAGACCGACAGCCTTGGAAACAACCCCCTGGGGCAGTTCTACTCTGTGCCATTGGGTCCTGGGGGGTCAGAATGGGCTCAAGGGCAGGGTTGGGGTTGGGGTTTCCAAGGCAGCACCAGGAGGAATGTCAGAGGGAGCGGAGAGGGCCGGCGCTGTCTCACCCTTGGCGGCCGTCAGCATGGTGGAGGCCAGCTCACACTGGCGGGTCTCCAGGTGGCCCAGAATGAACCAGCGGGGGTGACGATTGCTCAAGACGGAGTCCAGTGGGTTGGGGTGAGGTTCTCCGGCCAGAAACGCTGTCTCCAGGACCGGTAGCCTGGGGTGAGGGGCGCAGAGAGCTCCTGGTGAAGCTGGAGGCCGACTCAGTGATTCCGCCCCAGCCCGTCCACCCCTCTGTGGCCAGCAGAGCCCTGGTCTCTGGAGACAGCAGGCTTTTGCCCATGATGTTCACTGCAGTGCTGTTTATAAGAGGGGCTAGGGACATCCTAGAGCCGCCCAACGCTTGGGAGAGGGTCACAGACGCCAGGCTGCACCGAGGGCAACATGGCTGAGGAGAGATGATAACTTGTGTCCTGACAAGCCCTTCCATCAGTCTGTGACCTCCCTCTAGCCACTGTGCATTGTCCACCCACCCCAGGGCCTTTGCACAGGTTGGGTTCTCTGCTCAGACCTCCCGGTGGCTCCTCCTCACCTCCTGCAACTCTTTGCCTTATACCACCCCCACCCCCACCCCCACGGGAAAACGGCCGCTTCCCACCCTTGCCTGCTTCCCTTGCCGCCTTCCTCATTTCATTTTCCCCATTGCATTTGGCACCGTCTGCCGTACAATGTATTTTCCACTAGCCGTCTGTCTTTCCCTGCCCACAACCTCGGCTCCACGAGGGCAGGGCTTTTTCTGAGTCCTTAGCCCGAGGATGTGGTAGGTCAGCGGTACATATTTGTGGGGTGGTTCAGTACGCAAGCTCATGTGGTGAAAGTGGCTCACGGAAATGTACACACGCAGTCCCTGAACGATGGGTGACAGGCTTGGCTCCTGACCAAAAGGTGTTGGAGGTTCAAGTCCACCCAGAGGCCCAAGGATCGTTCAAAAAGCTGGTCTTTGAAAACCACCTGGAGAGCTATTCTCTCAGGCACACACACACGGGTCTCTGTGAGTCGGAAGCAGGGGCAACTGATCTGGAATGGTGTTTTTTGTTTGTTTTGCTTTAGTCTTATAAATCAATACTAGCTCCAGCTCCTTGCTGTGTGACGTTGGGCAGTGGACAAACATATCTTGGGTCACTTTCACTTTCTTCAGGTGCAAAATACGGGTGAAAAATGGTCTTCACTGGGCTATTAGGAGGGTGGGATCAGGCACTAACTAGGTGGACATCGTGGCCTTCAGTAGAGGAGCGACACTCTTTTCAGCCAATACTTTCAGTTTGCCGGCTACTGGGTCTCGGTCAAAAAGACTCAACTCTGCCGTTAGGATGGTGAGAAAGCAGTCACAGACACCAAGCGGATGAAGGGGTGTGGCTGTGTTTTAACACAGAAAAGCGCTCATGGGGGGGGGGGGGACATTACATTGGGCTGCTAACCTCAAGGGTAGCAGTTTGAAACCACCAGCCACGCCTTGGGAGAAAGATGAGGCTTTCTACTCCCCTAAAGAGCTATGGTTTTGGAAACCCACAGGGACGGTTCTGTGGAGGGAGGTCAGATCCTTGCTGCCAGACTGCTGTCTCACCCCACCACAGGGGTGGGCCTGCTCCCGGCTGCTGGGGACAATGGACAGGCTCCTGTAGGCAGAGTTTGCACCCTACTGATAATGTTCCTATGGAGACCCAGAGACCACCCCCTCATTGCTGTGTAACCTATAGTGCAGCCCCTCCCTGTGATGTATGTCTCTACCTGTAATTAGTGGGCTGGCATGCCCCCAAAAGGTATATAGGCGTGGGTCAGCAATATAGAGCTCTCGGACCTCTCTGACTCTGATCTCTCCTTGCTGCTCACTCCCTGGTCACTCCCCTCTCTTCCCCCTCTCCTCTCCAGTCCCCTCTCCCTTGTTCCCTTGCCCTCCTTCCCTTCCCCCTCTCTCCATGTGGACCACCAAGCTGGGCTGAGGTGAGCAATGCTACCATGTAATGTGTCTGACTGCATTATTGTAATATCGCTCATGCTCTCAATGACTTTAAAATAATACTCAAATAGCTCAACCGTACAATTGTACTTACTGAACCAGTGAGTTCTAGTAGCGGGTGGGGCTGGCACCCCACACCCCGGCGCCACTTTTAATTTAATACTACACAGTTCTACCCTGTCCTATAGGGTTGCTATCAGTCAGAAAGAAGACAATGGCAGTGAGTTTTGAGTGTCCTAATACCATTGTATCTCTGGACCCTGAAATTTGAATTTCCCCTAATTCTCCAGTCTGCTTTAACCATTTCGCCCAATTATCTGAAAATGCAAGCACACCTGGTGCTCGTTCAGGAATGCTCCAGATGGGCTAACAACAAAAACAGCCGCTGGACTGATTCAGACCGGAAGCTTATTGGGGAGGGCCCACTGGGACAAGGAGGTCAAGAAAGGTTGCCCAAGCGGAAGTCACTGAATGGCTCCCGGAGAAACAGCTGAACTGGTGTGTGTTCAACACCAGCTTAAAGTCCCTTTGTTTTGAATATGTCAGCACCCCAATTCGGATCCTCACAGGTCGTACACAAATTGGCGGCAGACCAATTTGACCAGGGCCCACCCCTGGCTTGGGAAAACAAGTCTTGTCCATGAAAGAGCATTTTCGAAACTCACTGCTCGTATGGATAGTTCTTTCCAAACTTTCTAGAAAGACACACCCTAGGCTGTTCGTCTGGATCTCTGAGGGTGGGAAGGGACCTCTGATATATGGTGGGCATGGTATTCTATAGAGTGGGGGGACTTTATACTCCGGCTTCTAGGATCTGCCGATGTTCGCTAGCTGGACAGTGACCACCTTCTCTAGTGTGTGTACACAGTGGGACAAAGAGGGAGTACACGGGTACTGTCTACCAGGTGACATGACAAAGGCTCTGTGGTACACAGCTCAGAAGCACCAAGCTGCAAAGGGAAGCAACACGAGGCTGCCATGGGGGTAAAAGGAAGACTGGGCATTCAAGTGGCAGCTCAAGCCGGACACAGGTTCAGACAGGCAGGGCACAGAGCTGGGGGGCAGCATCAGGATCTCTGGGAGGTAACATTGTCTACAGAAGATTACAGCTTTGGAAACCCTCCGGGGCAGTTCTACTCTGTCCTATGGGGTTGATGGGAGTCAGTTTGGACTTGAAGGCCGCCAGGTTCTGGGTAACACTGTCCGACTATAGAGCAGAGCACTGGGCAGCTTGAGACAAGCCGGTGTCGATGTGGGCTTGCTTTTGGAACCTGGTACCCGCGTGGACTGTTCTCAAATTTACCAAGAACAGTAGCACATGTTTGTATTTAGCAATAAAAAGCCCGCCATGGCTTTGAATGCCAAGGTGAGGTGGAAGGGAGGGTCCCCTGAGCTGCCTCCCCCTTGCGTCCACCCTCTACCCCCATGCCTGTATCCCCAGTCACTGGTTCTCACCTCATGGCACGCAGCGCCAGGCGGTAGGCCAGGTCGGGATCGTGGGGCAGCAGCGCAGTGAACAGGTAGCGGGCACAGGTGTGCATGGGCACACTCTCCCGGAAGAGCACCTCACCAAAGCCGCTGAAGGGACCACCTGCAGGGACAGCCATGGCTGAGCCATCAGGAGTGGGTGGGCCTCTGCCCTTCCGGATCTCCCCAAACACTGAATAGTGGAGGGGCGGGCCCCTGGACAGGGTGACTGGGGCTAGGCAAATCCCTGGGGTGGGCACCCAGGGCGTTAGGAAATACTGGAAAAAGGGAGGCAAGGGGGACAGACCCCTGGGTGCCCCACCCCCGCGTCACGCAAAGGGAGGGTGGGGGCAGAGGGAGGAGGTGGGGCCCCGCATCTGTAGTGAGGGCAGGGCATCAGCCAAGGCCAGCACACATTATTACCATAGAAGAGAGACAACCGGAAGAGGCAAGGTCAAGCCACCTCCGCAGTGTGGTAAAGGGGACGGGCCCGGAGGGGCTGGGCCAGAGTCGAAGGGCGGGGCCTAAACGGTGAGTGGGTGCTAAAAAGTGAGGTGGCCCCACCACCAACATGCTCCTTAGAAGTGAGTTAGGTGAGACTTTTGTCTCCCGTACTTGGGGCTGGTTATCAGGAGGGGTGCTCCCCGGAGAGGAACATCATACTCTGTGAGTAGAGAGTTCGAGAGAGGAGACCCTCTGGAGATGGACTGGCAGCGGCTGCCACAATGGGCTCAGTGTTCGTCAGAGGATGGTACACGGGGTCTCTAACCACACAGACCTGGCTGACAGTCAGGCCCAGGGGAGGAACCCTCCTGGAGCTGGCTGCTAGCTGTAAACCCATAACGATTTAAAGTCCCGTGGAGACGCCACAGGGGCACTTTCTACTCTGTCCTGTAGGGTTGCTATGAGTTGGAACTGACCGATGGTGGAGTTTCTTTTGGACCCCATAAAGATTTAGAAAGAAAACCGCAGGAAGGTTCCCTGCGAACCAGAAGGACTTCAAGGCAGGGGGTGAGGGCCAGGAGGCCGGGCTGGGGGCGGGGCCTCACCTTCCAGCAGCAGCCCCGCCTGCTTGCGCAGCACCTGCACCAGCCGCTCGTCCAGCTCCACCTCCTCCAGCAGGGCCAGCAGCTGCTCTTCGCTCCGTACCACCTTGTCCTGGGCGTACAGCCCCTCGGGCAGGGCCCGCTGCTGCCCCAGGCCCAGGAGGGCCACCTCCAGCGCCAGCGCAAAGTAGGACTCGCCGGGACTTCCCGGCACAGGCACGTGCTGGTAGGCCACCTTCCGCTTTTCCGGGCCTGCATCTGTGGGAGATGGGTGTAAGGGCCGCTGGGGTGGGGTGGGGGTTGTGGGGTCCTTGTTCGGGGCCCACCCACGGGAAAACTGGGGGCAGGACTTAGGGGAGGCCCGAAAAACCCATTGATGGCTTCAACTGATCAGCCTGACTCAGCTGGGGGCGTGGGCAAGCAGGGTCTGCCCCACCTTCCTCAGCCCCGCCCCCCTCCCAACGTGGCTACCTGGGTGAAGAGAGAGGGTCTCTTCCTCCAAGCGACAGACCTCCAGCAGTGCCCTACAGAGACAGCCAATGGGGTCCAGTGGGTGGCCTACCCATCCTTCCGTGTTGGTGACGCAGGTGGACCCTTTTTGGAGCAGCTCTGTGGACAGAGAGGGGGGCTCAGTGCCTGGGTGGCCGCCTCTTACACCTTAGCTGCTGCACCCCTACCCCCCATCCGGTGGCCCTCTTCTCCACCATCCTCCCGACTCCCGAGCTGACTGTAGCCCTCAGCTTGGGCCCTGACAGGGTCCCCCACTTCTGACAGGATAAAGCCTGAACAGATAGCTCCCAGGGCCTCCTGACCAGTGCTGGGTCGCCTGCACGCGCACGTGTGTGTGTGTGTGTGTGTGTGTGTGTGTGTGTGTGTGTTACCTAGCCTGCACCACCCACAAGCCATAGCGCTCTTCCAACCTGGATCCTGGAGCAGTCTTCTCCCACCTCTTCCTCCTGGGGGAGGTGGCCCTCCTAAAGATCACCCCTCCCCCCTGGGAGCACCTCACTAACCCGGCCTTTCCCCCTTTACTCTGGCATGTCTCCTCAGATCTTTTGTGTTTTACCTCAGTCTTTGTTAACCCCCTCCCCCCACAAAAACCCCAAACCACACCAATTTGAATGGACGGCTCATGTTTAAAAACCAGCCATTTGGGGTCTACACATCTAGATGCCCGGCCTCATTGAGCCCCGAAGGCCAAGAGAGGCGGGTGCCAGCTCTGTGTCAGGAGAGGCCATGCTCTGGTGACTGGGATGTTCCTCAGGGTGCAGAGTGTGGCCAGCAGGTTCTGGGGTGCTTTTAAGGACTGTCCCTTTGGGGGCTGCAGGTGCTTGGGCCTGCCCGCCGTGGGCGATATGTCATGACTTGTCACCTCTCCATGGCTCTGGGAGCTATTTCCCAAAGTCCCGGTCTTAGCTTCCTGCTGGCAGGGGGCTCCCACCTTTTTTCTGCTGCTTGTAGCTCTCCAGCTGATGGCGCCGCTGCAGCCTCAGGGTGTTGACGATGGCGCCTGCCAGCCGCAGGGCCTGACGGGGGTATCCGTGCGCGCGCAGGGTGTCCACTCGGGCGCAGGCAGTGGGGAAGGCCTCTCCCAGCCAGAGTGGGCGGCCCTGGGGGTCAAAGGCCAGCTTGTCGCCACCCACATTGCCTTTGAGGCTGGGGCCGTAAGAGTCGCTGGCCAGAATCCTCTGCAGGTGGACATCACTCCAGTGCAGCTCCCCGGCCTGCAGGGCTCGGCTGAACACCGTGTGGCGGGGACCTGCCGCTGCCACTTCTGAGCCTGGAGGACAGGGGTCCAGGAAGACTGGGTGAGGGGCCAGGTGGTGGATGTGGTCAAGCTCCCCCACCAGGTGCGGACTCGGGGCTGGGCCCTGGATGTGTGTGCATCATTGCCTCAAATCCTCCCCCCAGCCCTCTGAAAGGGCCTGTGGGGACCTGGTGGGCTGTGATCACCCCATCATGTAGATCAGCAGTTCACACCCTGTGGGTCGAGACCCCTTTGGGGATCGAACGGCCCTTTCACAGGGGTCGCCTGATTCGTAACGTAGCAAAATGACAATTAGGAAGTAGCAAATGAAAATAATTTTATGATTGGGGGAGGAACAACACGAGGAACTGTATGAAAGGGTCTCGGCATTAGGAAGGTTGAGGACCACTGATGTAAATGGAGACCCTCAACCCACTTGCCTGTGCTGCTGCTGCAGTCTCCACTTGGCTTGCTGTCTAGGCCCTTCCCTCCATCTCTGCCTCTCTCTCTCCTCCCCCACCCCCCTCCGTTCTCCCTGTCTCTGCAACTAGTCACAGACGGCTGATGCAGGACCTCAGCCAGGACTAGAGGTATAGCACCCCCACTCTCCACCCCACCCTCGGCCTGCCGACCTCCCCTTGCCTTGGGCAAGTGCTCTCCTCTGACTGGGACTGCCTTTCCGCTCCCCCACAGCCTCTCTCCTGGGACAGGGACCCCTCTCCTACCTGAGCTGGGGGTCTCAGAGGGCTGCAGGCTGGGGCCATCAAAGGCATAGTTGCCCTCTTCCAGGGGGCACACCTCCAGTTGGTCCCATTTGCGTAACAGCTGCAGCCAGCCAGCTCGCTCCTCGGGCTTGCAGTGGGGGCTCAGGACAACGCAGACCCAGAGGGCTCCTGAGCAGGGAGACAACAAACCCTTAGTGAGCGTCTACTGTGGACCAGGCCCTGCTCTGCTCGAGCCGGGACCCCCCCCTGCCCCAGCCCCCACAAATGACATCTCCACCTTGATTGGCTCAGGGTCACACAGCTGGTACGTGGCAAGGCAGGAGAGGAACCCAGGGCGCTGGTGCCTTCCCTAAGTGTGGGTTTCTTTGTTTGTTTTTTCCCTAGAGCACTTGTATCTATCAGCTCTGCAGAATGTATCTACCTGCATCTGCAGTCACTTTTGAAGTGTTGAAAAACAAGATTAAAAGGACACTATGTGGCTGATGACAAGGCTAGGGAAGTCACAGGAAGAGATAGCACGGAACACAGCCACGCACTTCCACTCAGGTCTCCTTGGTGGCTGGGGCGACAGAGGGGGTCGATTGCAATGGAAACTGCGGAGGTTCTCACGCTGAACGTATTGACTATCGGGGTGTGCTCCACCTCCAGCTGGGACCTGGAAAGGGGACCTTTTTTGGAAATGGGGTTTTTGCAGATACCAGCTAGTGAAGATGAGGTCTGCTAGGGCTGGGCTGTGTCCTTTAAAAAGACACATTCAAGTCCTAACCCTGCACCTGGCACTGTGACCTTATTTGGGGCAGTAGATGTCTTCCTTTGAAGCTCTCTATTGGTGAAAACAACGAGCTTATCCTGGATTCAGCGTGGGTCCTAATACTATCTGGCAAGGATGCATCTTACAGACTTTGGGCATGTAGGCGGGAGAGACCAGTCCCTAGAGAAGGACATCATGCTGGGTAAAGTGGAGGGACAGACAAGAGGAAGGCCCTCAACAAGATGGGTTGACACCGTGGGTGCAACAACGGGTTCAGGCAAAGGAGCAATTGTAGAGGTGGGGCAGGACCATGCAGGGTTTCCTTCTGTTGTGCATAGGGTCCCTATGGGTCGAAACCTAGGGTCCCCATCTCGATGGCACCCAACAACAACACTATCTGGCTAACGCATGGCTGTTAAGTCACTTTAAACTGATCGGGACTCTGTAGGACAGAGCAGAACTGCCCCATAGGGTTTTCAAGGCTGTAATTCTTTCTAGAAAGCAGCCCTGGGGGTGTCATGGGTGGCTGGCTGGCTGCAAGCTCAGCAGTTCGAAACCACCAGCTGCTCCTCAGGAGCAAGATGAGGCTTTCTACTCCTGTCAAGAGTTACAGTCTCAGAAACCCACCGGGGCAAGTCTACCCTGTCCCACAGGGTCACTATGAGTCATCAACTCAACGGCAGGACGTTTTTTTCTTTAGACTCCTTACAAAAGCAGACCATTGTGTCTTCCTCTGATGGCTTTGAACTGCGGGCCTTTCTCGCTGCCACCCGAGTGCCTAACCACTGGGCTCCCTAAGCCGACATGGCTCACTAACCAAACTCACTCGCTGCCACCGAGGGAGTCTGTGCTGACTCACAGCGACCCTACACGACAGGGTAGAACTGCCCCGGTGAGCTTCGGAGACGGCAACTCTTCATGGGACTAGAAAGCCTGGTTTATCTCCCGTGGAGCTGGGAGGTGGTTTGAAACTGCTGACCTTGAAGTCAGCAGCCCGGCTCAGAACCCCTAGGCCCCCAGGGCTCCTATATGACTGGTATCAAGTACCTTAAACTAGTCAAGTATCTTATAAAGAAGGTGGACACGGAGACCACGTCACCCAGGCACCCAGGACAGGGTGCCAAAAGGCAACAGGGATGGATGCATCCAGAAGCAGCAAAGGACTGCTGAGGACTGGGGGCTGTGACTCGAAGCAAGGGACAGTTTTTCCTCTTGGGACTCTCAGAAGGAATCCGCCTCTCTTCTTCAAAGACACCTCCTTTGTGATCTCTGATGCTGGCTGCCCTAGGAGACCCAGATCAGGTCCTGCTGGAAGGGAAGGAGCCGAATCCAAGGACAGAGCGCTTCTTAGCAGCAAGGACAGTGAGACTTTGCTCACATATACATTCACATATATATATGTTGTCGGGAGAGAGCAGTCTCTGGGAAAAAGACCTCGTGCTTGGTACAAGAGGAAGGCCCTCAACGAGATGGGTTGGCACAGCGGCTGCAACTATGGGCTCCCATCTAACAGTAATGGTGAGGACGGCGCAGGGCCAGAGAGTGTCGTGCTGCAAAGGGTCACTATGGGCTGGAACTGACGTGACACTTGGAAAGAAGATGGCATTTGGTCCCAGAGAGGCGGGCAGAGGGACAGCAGCGAATGCCACGTGACGATGGAGGCAGAGCTGGGAGCCCTCATCTCTGAGCAAAGGGGCATGATGGATTGCTGGCCACCACCAGAAGCCACACGAGGCAAGGAAGCCTTTGAAAGGAGCCTGGCTCTGCCAGTGCCTTGACTTTGGACTTGGGGGTCTTCAGGCTGTGAGCACCTACACTCCTGTTGTTCTAAACTCCCCAGAAGCAGCATTGAGCTGACCCCTGGTCTAGCGTGTCTGGTGCATTTTCTTGTCTTTCCCACGAACTGTCAGCTCCGTGAGGGCAGGGATTTTGTCTCTAGTCCTCTGCTGGGTTTCCCATACTCAGGATACTGCCCGGCACATAGTAAGCTCAACAAATACTTCTGAAATGAACGGAGGAAGGATTCACAGGCCAGGCCCTAATCTCAGGCAGGAGCCTGGTCTCGGCTGCGCTCAGGGCCGGCCCTTCCTCAGCTCGCCCTTACCCAGCTCGTCCCACAGCTGCCGGCACTTGTCAGTCATGCCCGCGCCCTGCTGCCGCCACAGCGCCAGGCGCGGGTCCTGCAGGAACTGCTCCGTCATGAGGATCAGCATGCGTGCTCCGTTGCAGTCCCGCATGCGCAGCATTTCCCGTACCTGTGGGGGGATGGGGTGGTGAGGAGGGGGCGTGCATCCAGGGCCTCCTGAGAACACCCCCTGACCCCAGAGCCCACTCAGCACCTTGTTGAACATGGAGCGCAGCTGCTGGCTGGCTCCATAGTAGCCACCATGGGACAGGAGCTGCTTCACCTGCTCCTGGATCTGCTCTTCGTCCAGGTGCCAACAGTTGGCATCCTCGATGCCAGCCCCCGCCGTGGGGTCTGGGGCACCTGAGAGAAGGAAGGGAAAGTTTAAGCTGGGGTGGGGAGAGAGGGTGTCTGCCCCTGCCACCTGTCCATTCCTCCAAATTCCCCACTCACCCCAAATAGCCATCTGTTTATCCATCTGTCCCACCCACCCATTCGTCAATTTACTCATCCATCCATCCGTCAGTTCATCTCACCATAACTATCACCCCTCCTACCCATCCACCATCTATCTACCCATCCATCCAGCCATCCCACCTAGAACATCACCTGCCTAGCCAGAAGTTCACCCCCACTCATCCATCCATTTACTCATTCAGACACTAATCCATCTCCTCTTAAACATGTCCTGCCCATCCACCCACCCATTATCAGTCTCACATGAACCACCACCTGCCTGGCAACCCATCCATTCATCCTGCCCAAGTCACCACCGCCCCCCCCATTCATCCATTTACTCGTCTACTCATATGTCCATCTCACTGTAAACATCACCTGTCCATCTGTCTGTCTCATCCACACCACCAGTCATCTGTCCCACTCAAAACCCCACCCCCACCCACCCACCCATTTACTCATCCATCCACTTGTCTATTCCATTTACTTATCCATCCATGCACTCATCCATGCATCCATTTGTTTACTCCCCCATCCATTTGTTCATCCCAACAGAAACACCACCCACCCACCCATCAGCCTGAAAAACCATCACCCATCTGTCTCTCACCCACGTCGTCCTGGGCACCTAGCCGCTCATTCTTTATCAGTTCGTCCACACGCGCACACCTCTCTGCGTACCTATCCTCCATCACCCACTGCGCCGTAGCTCCGACCCCTCTGTACGTTGTTGCTGCTAGGTGCCGTCGAGTCAGTTCTGACCCGTAGCAACCCGTATGTACAACAGAATGAGACGCGTCCGAGCCCATGCCATCCTCCCAAGTGTCTTATATTTGGTATATAAGCCATCGATACAGCCACGGCGTCAGTCCATCTTGTCAAAGGTCCTCTCTTTCGCTGCCCCGCTCCTTTAGAAAGCACGGCGTCCTCCCCCAGGGACTGGTCTCTCCTGACAACATGCCAAAGGATGTGAGACAGAGTCTCGCCAGCCTTGCCCCTCAGGGGCATTCTGCTGTCCTTCCTCCAAGACGGATGTGTTTGTTCCATGGTACTTCCCATAGTCTCGGACCTATCTACTTAGCCATCTCATGTATCCAGCCTTGTCCCATTTGCCATTCCAACCCATCCGGATCAACAACCGCACCATCCACTGACCCTTGTAACCATCCTCTCCATCCACCCAAAGAACCGCAAGTCTCCACCTGACCTCCCCCCCGGGAGACAGGCATTTCTCCACACATCTGGCTGCCCACTAGTCCACCTGCTGTCCCTGTTAAACAAGACATCCACTTGCGCTATCCATTTGCCATGCTGGCCCTCACACACGGACCTCCCACACGCTCATCAACTCATCCCTCATATCCATAAACCTTTGGTCCTTCCATTCTTCTACCTCACTTCCCCACGTATCAAAGCCTTCCCTAACCACTCATCCATCCCTCTAATTGCAACCAACTCCCTGTTCATCTGCCTTTCTACTGACTCACCCGTCCACTCACCCCACTGTTTATTCCATACCATCAGTTCTCCCCAAGACCCGTCATCAATTCTTTCTGCACCCATCCATCCCCACCCTCAATTACACATCTGTACTTCCACCCAGAACTCATCAATCTGCCCATCTAGGCAACACCGTTCTTGTAGAGCCCCCGCAGCCTCCCAACACTTCCCCACCCATGCCCCAAGTCTGACAGCCAGTAATGTCCCAACATGCTCTGCATGCCCCCGCCCTATCCAGACCCAACCCTGTCCTTGTGATCTCGGACATCGAGACACCTACTCTGAGTTTCCCCCATTCAGACTCTGCCATAGCCTGGTGTTTGACCCATCTCCCGCCCCGGGGCGAGATGGCATCCAGGCATGGGGCCTCAGAGTAGCGCCCGTGTCCCCAGGGACCAAGCTAGGGGCTGTGAGGATGCTTGCTCCACAGCCTGGGAGGCTGTGGGTTGCCTCCTCGCAGCTTTGCCCCCTCCAAGCATTCCACTCCCCCCCCCCCCAAACCAAGCCCTCACCATGCACCAGGTTGATCTCGGAGCCCAGCAGGAGGATCTCATCGGCCAAGCGCTGGGCGGTGGGCAGCACCTCGGTGTGGTGGGCGCTGATGAGGTACTGCACAAACTTCTGCAGCTGGTCCCTGTTCATCTGGGAGAGGGTCTCCGAGATGGGCAGCCGCAGCTCCACCCGGCGAGCAAGCCGGATGCGGTACAGCGACAGGGCCACCACGTGGGCGCAGTAGAAGAGGTCACGGTTGTCGCAGCCGCAGCTCACGGAGGTGATCTTGCAGCGGTCGAAGCTGATGGAGACGTGGTAGAGGCTCTCGGGCTCACCAGGGCCCCCCGGCTCCTTCACGTTCCCGCTCAGGTGAAACCCTAAGAGCAGAGCCAGAAGGTCAGGGCCGTGACTTCCCGGGGGACAGCGTGCACTGTGTCCACCACCCAGATGCACACAAACCCCGCTGAGTAAATCAGGGCTTGTGCCCTGACTCCGCTGAGCCTCAGCCTCCCCGTCTGTCCAGTGGGAACTGTGGTAAGAGCCTCCTGGTTGCTTTAAGAGTTACATGAGTTAACATGTTGCAAATGCTTAGGAGCCTGTTGGCACTCAGCGCTTAGGAGCCTGTTGGCAGTCGGCGGCCACAGGATCTCTTAGGAAGGGTGTCCGAGATGGTTTTCTCAGACTTGGGTCACCATGGACACCGCCAGGGCTCTCTGGGAAGATGTCTAAGGCTTGTGGCATTTGGGGGTGAGGGGCTGATGTGGCAGGCCAGGGGTGCAGGTCACCCCATCACCCCTTCCCTGGCTCCTAGTGAGCCAGCTGCAGGCTCACCAGACTGGTTAGGCTGCTGTGGCTCCAGCCCCAGCCAGTCCTGGCTGCGTCATTGGGGAGACAGCTTCCTCATACCGGCGGGAGACAGCTGAGACCTCGGGCCAGCTGTGGGGCCCCAGGCTGTCAGGACCAGGGAGGGTGACATTGGTAGAGCCCCTGCCACCATCGGGGGGTCTGGGACAACTTCTACTGGCTCAGTCTCTTCTGGTCTCTCCTGAGCCCTCTCCCTGGAGTTGGAAGCTGCTGCTCCTTACAGCACCCCCCAACCTAGTCTCTGCACCGCTTCTTTTGCATCTAGCCCATCATCTGGTCCCCAAGCTCCCACCTGGGAGCTAACTCTGCACCTCGACCCTCCCCTCCCACCACAGGCAGAGGTCCTAGGCCCCTCAGCCTCTGATCCCAGCCCCTACCTGGAGTCTCTCTGCCTGAGGTCTAAGATGGCCTCTAAATCTCTGCTGCCTGAGGTCTAGGGACCTTTTTAAAATATCTGGCTCTCAACCCGTACCCTAAAGTATCACTGGCACCCTAAAGAATCCCTGGGCCTCACTGCCTGCCGTCTGGAATGTCACTCTTCTGGTTTAAGGTCACTCCTCTCACTCCCCACCTGGACCCCACTCCCCACCTCTTCCCCAGCTAAGCTGCCTGAGGTCTTCACCCACGGTTCAGAACCCTGCAGGCAACCTGCGCTGGGCCCAAAGCCTGAGGTCTTGGACTTCCACAGCCTGCTTCAAACCTCTACCCCAATCGCTCTCATGGCCTTCAGTTCTGCCCTCTGCCTTGACATGGTCCTCGCTGCCTACTTTCCGGGGGCTCTTTCCTCTCTTCTCCCTTCTGCTTAACCAGCCGCCCCTGAGCCCATCTAAGCCCTGCCGCCTGGGGTCTAGGGTCATCCCTGATCTTTAGCTAACAATACTCACTGCCACTGAGTAGATTTTGACTCACAGTGACCCCACGGGACAGGGTACAACTGCCCCCGTAGGTGTGAGATGCTCACTCTTTCAGGGGCCAGAAAGCCCCATCTTTCTCCCAGGGAGAAGCTGGTGGTTTCGAACTGCTGACCTTGCAGGTTGCAGCCAAAGTGTAACCACAACCCCACCAGGGCTCCTCTGGCTCCCAATGTTCTACTATCGCACCTGGGCCTCGAAGCCTGAGGTCCTTAACACTCCCCTGTTCCCAGTTCTTCAACCCTCAAAGCCACTTTGGGCCCACTGACTGTGAACGAGCTCTCCCCTCCCGCTGGGCCCAGGTCCAGAGGGGCAAGCAGGGGGCACTCACCCACTTGTAGCACTCGATCCACAGCCCCACTCTGCAGCAGGTGCAGCCCCCGGGTAAAGGGCACCCGGGCGTCATGCTCGCCCTCCGGGGGCTGGTAACCCAGCGAAGAGTACATGCATATCTCCCGCTCGCTGCGTGGAAAGGACCAGAAGATAATGCGCTTCTGGACTGGCTCTGGCACCCGGGAGAACCGCGCTTCTACCTGTGGGAAGGGCCAGAGGATGAGAAGACCCGGCTCGGGCCAGGGGCCTGGGTTCAAATCCCCGCTTTGCCAAGTGTGTGGCCTTGAACCTGTCACTCTGCCTCTCGGAGCCCCTGTTTACCTCTGGAGGCTGCCAGCATCCACTTCCTGAGGGTTGTCGAGATTAAATAAGCAACAAGGCACTCAAAGCCCCTACAGGAACACCTGGCCCACAGCTAGTGTTCTAGAAGGTTCTGTGCCTTCCCTCCTGGAAACCAGGCTCCAGGTCCCCAGGGCAAGTAGCCCACCTTTCAGGCCCTTAGGGAGTAGGAGGAAGGAAAAGAAAAGCCATTGAAGAATAATAGTAACTAAAGCCTTACCTTTAACCCTGCTATAAAGCTTTGGTATAGGAGTCCACTTAATTCTTAGACAAGACAACCCCAAGAGGCGGATACTGATCCATCATTGGCCCATTTGACAGACAGGGAATCAGAGGTTCATTGGTGGGAGGTGGGGGATGGTAGGGCGTGTCAGTTCACTGGCTCAGGGTCCCAGAGTTGGTGAGCTCCAACTCCCAAGGCCAGCTCTGTTCCTGCATCAGTCACCTCTCCTTGTCCCACCCCCAGCAAGGGCCCCCAGGGAGGGAGGGGTACCCTTAGCCACCCCTGTGGGCTCCAAGCAATGAACTGAGCTGGTTGAGCCTGTGTTCCAATCCCGGCTTGCTACTCACTTACCGGCTGGGTGACCCTGAGCAAGTTTCCCAACCTCTCTGTGCCCCAGTTTCCTCACAAAGTGGGCCAGAGAGCAACAGCTCCCCAAGGGCTGTCGAGGACATGCTGAGCTTCTGGGGGTGGGAGCCAGGGGTACACAGGAGCCACCAGAGGGGCTGTTAGGATGATGCGGGGTATCCTGCACACAGTGTTGAGCAGGGACCCTCCGGAGCCCTGGCTCCTGTTTCTTTGGGGGGACAGGGGGCTGGCAGGGAAGAGGGAGTGTCTATGCCGGCTCAGTGCAAGGGGACAGTCTACAGATGACTAAGGAAGAGGGATTTTCCAGGCCCTGAATCAGAGCCTGCCTCATCCCCACTCAGCCCAGTACTCATTTTCCTGGCTTAGCTCCTAACTTGGGAGAGGCTAGGGAAGAAAAGACCGTTTACAATGCTTGGGAAGGGCATTCAGGGGCCCCAGCCCTGGGACATCCTGGCAGGGCGGGCAGGTGCACCTGTTCAGGGACCAGGACCTGCTTCTGGGGCTACTGGACACCCTCCCCACCATGCCCCAGAAGGGCTGGGATGAATGCCAGGGGGGCAGGGAGGGCGCCCTGGCCCTTGGGTAATCCCCTATGGCCATACAGGAGGGGTTGGGCAGTGCCAGGTGGGAGGAGGGCCCAGGGGCGCTAAGGGGTTGGGGAGGGCTTGAGAATGATGGTCTGGAGAGGGGAGCCCACCAGGTGCAGGTGTGCTCCGGAGGCTGGGGAGCAAGATGAAGGGATGTTTCCAGACCGGGATCTAGGGAGGCGGAAGAGTTTTACTGGGGTCTGTACCAGGGTATAGACAGGCAGGAGTTGGGGTACAGAAGTCTGGGGCTGTGCTCTGGGGAGGTGGGGTGTTGGGGGGGGGGCTTGAAGGAATTGTAAATGAGAGTCCAGTTGGGGGCACCTTTTGGAGAGCAAGAACGAGGGAAGAAAAGAGGGGACCCAGCCTGTGCGAGGCGTGCCCCCACCCCCTCCGTCTCTCACCCCTCTCAGTCACCTGCTCAAAGGCCCAGCTCTCGGCCACTCGCTTGGCACTGAGGTCCAGCAGCGTCTCGGGCCGGCCTCGGCAGCGCGCGGCCCCGGCCCCGGGATTGCGCTCCTCCGGTCCCGCGGGGCCCCCCCGGCTCCGCTTGGCCGTGGGGGGGTCCATCGGCCGGCCGGGGCCGGGGCGGGGCTGCCAGGGGTCGGTCCGGTGGCTGGTAGGCGCCGCCGGCTGCCGTGCCGTCTGGTCGTCCTTCAGTCCTTCCTCGGCGCTTGGCCACCCGGGGACCCCCGCCGCACCCACCCCCGCCCCGCGCCGGGCCGGCCGGGTGATGCGGCCCCTTTAAGACTCTTCACAACAATGAAGCTGCCTCGGCAGCCGCTTTATCCTCCGCCGTTGTCCCACCCCCGTCGCCCGTCCCCATTGGCCCCCCTCTGGTCTCCACGGCCCTGCTCTGCCATTGGCGGCGCCGCGAGCTCCGTCTACGAGATGCCGCTGCTCATTCGCTGGAGGCGCTTGCCCCTTTTGTGGGCTCGCCCAATCAGAGTGCTCAGCGAGAGGAACTGTCGATCACGGAGCGCCGGCGGCCAATCGTAGCGATAGAACCCCCGCGGGGTTGTCCTTATGCGGAGTTTCGGGGCGGGCCCTGGGTTCATTCACAACATTCCTCCCCCGCCCCCCTCCGGCTGGACAGCGCGCCCGGGGCAGCTGGGGCTGCGCCCACACACGGCTTTGTTTACTGAGGGTCGTTTCCGGGCTCGGTGACAACGATCCTCTCGATCCAGTCAGTGGAGTGAGACGCAGCGACGAGAGACCTGGACAGGTCCCAGTCCCTCCTTCCTCCTGCCCGTGGGTGTCCAAGCAAGCCCTTCGGCCTCTGTGGACGCCGGGACGTGTTTTGATGCTTTGTAGAGGGACCGGTCACGGGCCCTTTTGGGAGGCAGCCACCCTCCTCCCCAGAAATCAAGATTAATTAGAGGGCTCAGAGACCTTTCCTCAAGCCCATCCTTCACCCAAGATAGGAACCCCAGACTATACTTCACCCTATTTATTTTTAGCCGAATCATTTGCCGACTTTCTTTTTCTTTTTAAGTTGACAAAAATGGCAATTTGGAAAAGTTCAACCTAAGGTGTTCAATTGGACCACACCACCTCTGGTCACCTTTCCCCGCCCCACCCCCAGCTTGTCCAGCCTGCGTTTCTCATTGGGTCTCTTCCCTCGTCTCTCCGTGTCCTCAGAGAACCTTCATTTTCCCTGGATCACACTTCCCTCCATCGCCATCCCACTTTTCTCTTTCTGTGGCGCTTTACTAGCTGTGGCTCTCAGGGGCTGGTCTCATTGCTACAGGCTGAGCCCCCATCCAGCCCCTGGCCTACAGAGGCGCTCAGTCTGGATCTTATGGGATCTAACTCGCTGCCCTTGGTCCCCTTTCAGTGGACATGACCCACAGAACAAGAAAAGCCCAAGCTGACCCCTAAGTGACCTGATGCTTTCCCCTGAAACCTGACTTTCTTTCTGGGAACTTCCAGGCTCCGCCCACCATTCAGTAAACTTCCCTCCAGACCTGCACTGTCCTGAATGGTCCCCAATGGTTACCATTGATTTTTGAGCCAGGTTGGAAATATAAAACACATACCAGACTTTGGAGGGAAGAAAGAATGTATAATGGAACACTAAGAAATTTTTACATTGATTACAGGTTGAGATGCTAATATTTGATAAGCAAAACCCCAAAATCACTGCCACTGAGTCGATTCTGGCTTATAGTGACCCCCATAGGACAGGGTAGAACTGCCCCTTGTGGGTTTCTGTAACTCTTTACAGGAGTAGAAAGCCTCGTCTTTCTCCCTTGGAGCTGGCTTGTGGTTTCAAACTGCTGACCTTGCAGTTAGTAGCCCAATGTGTAACCAATATGCCACCTGGGCGCCGATATTTGAGATAAAGTTGAGCTAAATCAGTATTTCCTAAAGTAGGTGATGGCCTTCTGAGGGCGCTGGCATGATCTAGGTAGCTGTCTTCCAAATTTCCTGGCACAGACGCGTGAGTGTTTTGAGCACTTCTGTTTTCTGAGACATTTCAATGGGTCTTCCATCGATTCCTCGAGCCTTGTTCTTGCCTAACGCTTTCAGTGCAGCTTGAACTTCTTCCTTCAGCACCATCGGTTCTTGCTCACCTGCTGCCTCCTGCCATGGTGGATCCTGGACTCGTTGTTTCTGGCACAATAACTGTATTCTTTCCATCTCCTCATGTCTTCCCACTGATGTAGTCAGTTTGATATCTATGTATTCCCAGGGGAAGCCTAGGTGTATATGGTTTGTGTGGTTGAAAAGTATTTGTTATGAACAAGTTGTTGGTTTTGCAAAATTCTATCATCTGCTCTATAACCAAATCCACATTTCCAATTCTTGTTCCTTCCACTTTGTTTCCAACTTTTGCATTCCAGTCACCAATAACTATCAGTGCATCTTGACTGCATGCTTGATCAATTTCCGACTGGAGTTGTTGGTAGAAGTCGTCAATGTCTTCATCACTAGCTTTCATGGTTGGTGCATAAATGTGAATAATGGTTGTATTGATGGGATCTCCTTGCAGGCAGACAGATATAATCCCATCACAGACAGCATTGTACTCCATGATGGATGTAGCAAGCTCCTTTCTGACAATGAATGCCACGCCATGCCTCTTGATTGTGTTACTCCCAGCATAGAAAATCATGATTTCTGATTCAAAATGGCCAGCACCAGTTCATTTCAGCTCACCGGTGCCTAGAGTATTGATCTTCATGTCTTCTATTCCATTTTTGACCACTTCCAATTTTCCTAAATTCATACTTCACACTTTCCATGTCCCAGTCCCTCAGAGATTTTTTTGCAGCTGTTTCTCCTTGAGTCCTGCCCCATCAGCGCATGCAGATCCTGAAGGCTGCACTTCCACAGGCTTCACCGGACTCGGGGCACCCTGGCTGACTCCCCTCCAAGAAACCAGTTCCTCTTCTGTCACTTGGGAGCCCATCGACTGGGAGTATCTCCGACAGGGTTCTGCCTCCGTTGTTAGCCTCTCAGTTTTTGACAGTGCTGTGAAGCTCTGCGTTAGGTTTCCAACAGCTTCTTTCTCCAAAGTGGGGAGCCGAGTCCAGTACCTTCTTCATTGTCTGTTCTTAGTGTGGAAGCTCCGCTGAAACTGGCTCACTTTGGGCCACCCTGTTGGTATTTGAAATTGCCAGTGACACATAGCTTCCAGCATCACAGCGACATACAAGCCACCCCAGTAGGACAAACTGACAATGAGGTGTTGGAATGTACAGAAGGACGTATGTGATACATGTGGCATTTTGGGTGGAGAGCCCTCGCCTGTATGTAGAAAGCACAGCCTGGTGACAGACAGACAACAAGAGAGGCAGCAATAATACTAACACCCTGACTATCTGCATGGAGTGCTACGAGTTCAAGGGTAAGCCTTTGAACAGCTTGTCCCCACAGTGGGGTGACTACCTGCATGTATCAGAGGAGGAAACGGGCATGGAGAACTCGAGTTCCTTGCTTGAAGTCAGAGACGGGCGGGGCCTAGACTTACTGGATTGCTCTTTTCTTGCAAAGAATTGGGTAACAACGGGAAGGAGTTATTGGGGGTGAAGGAAATGGAGGGGCATGGACTACCTAAAGCCCCTTCCAGGTGGAGCCTCTCTAAGACAGGTCCCAGGCCCCACTTTTTCCTGCAGCCCCCCTCAGCATCTGGCATCTGACTGTGTCAGGTAAGCCCAGGTGGCTGTCTTTAAGGAGCGACCCGTGGGTTTGCCGGAGTTTGGATTCGAGAGTTAGTTACTGGCCAGTGGGTTGATTTTAAGAGGACTGGATCAGGGGGAAGGAGCGCTGGTGGCGTAGTGGTTATGCATTGGGATGCGATCCAAATGGGCAGCAGTTCAAAACCACCAGCCATTCCACGCATGGGAGAAAGACAGGCTTTCTACTCCCATAAAGAGCCACAGGGGTAGTTCTACCCTGTCCTATAGGAAAGCTATGAGTCAGCATCGGCTCCATGGCATTGACTTGTCTTGGTTGTTTTTGGAGAATGGGGAATGAACGGTGCTGATGGATAAGCATTGGGCTGCTACCTGCAAGGTCCGTTGTTCAAGCCCAGGAGCTGCTCTGTGGTAGAAAGAGGAGGCTCGCCGGCTCCCAGAATGATTCACACCCTCAGAAACCCTATAGAGCAGGGGTTGTTGGGGTTAAGTGCTGTCAAGTCAGGTCCAACTCCCAGGGACCTGATGTCCCACAGAACCAAACACGGCCCGGCCCTGCGCCATCCTCATAATGATGGGTACATCTGAGCCCCGCAATGCAGCCACTGTGTCTACCCATTTCGTGGAGGGCACTTGTGCTTTCTCCCTGCCCTTAGACTTTACCAAGGCTAATGTCCTTTTCCAGGGACCAGTCTCTGCTGACAACCTGTCCAAAGGACGAGAGACCAAGCAGGGGTGGGGAGCTTTTTTCCTGCCAAGGGCCATTTGGATACTTAAAACATCATTTGAGGGTCATGCTGGTGAAACATGTCATTAACATTTCACCCCGATGGGATGGCTAGAAATGCTTCTCTTTGGTGAGGCATGAGATATTAGCGGGCATTGATGATCTTGTGGGCCTTATACGGCCCAAGGGCCGGATATTCCCATCCCTGTGACATCGGCTCTCTGTGAGTCAGCATCAGAACCGACTCAAAGGCAGTGGGTTTTCTCAAACTGCCAAGATGAATGTCGTCTTCATTGTCCCGGCCATGATGAGGAAACAGGCACAGAAGGCCAGGTGCCACTGTCAGGTCCACACAGGGCAGAGCAGGGCAGGGCAGGGCCAGCACTCAAGCTGCTCCAAGGAGGCTTGCTCCGACCCCCAGCCTCCTCCTGGCATCGCTCCCTCCTCCCTCTGACAGCTGGGGAGGTTCTTTCTCCGAGGAGCACAGGGCTTTCGCAACATCAGTATCTAGTTCAAATGTAGTCACTTTGCCCTGCGGCCACGGGGTTTACAGTCCCGGCAATTGTTTCTGAAGGGTGACCTGGCGTTTCCAATCTTTCGTTTAAAAAGAGCAAGCAAGAGAAAACTATTCAGCCACGTAATACTGGGGCCTCGTGAAATGGCAAATGTGGGCGGGGGTCACTTGTCGCTTGGGAAACAGG